ATAAAAATAAATATGGCAACCCTCACCTATTTGAATATTTTAACTCAGTTAAATTGATAAATAAAGAATATTTTAAATCTTTTTAAGTATCTTTAGTTAAGATTTGCATTAAGAAATATTTAATTTTCTCCATGAGAAGAGAATTATATAAAGAAATTTTGAAAAATTTCCGATACAATTACAATATAAAATACAAATGACCCGTTTTAATAAACCTTCCCGGTTTTTCTGCCTTCAGTAGATTAAACCCTACCCTTTACTGCAACAACAGCGCTCAAGCTCTTCAAAAACCACGGCATCAACCACCCTAATTGCCTGTGCAGCTGCAACCTTTGCGGACGTTTGTACAAGGCACTTACAACCTTTCAGTGTAAATGTACAATATATTTAAAATTTTTGTTGGTCACTTGGGAAAAATATTTTAAATCATGATATTTTAATTTTTTTTTTAATGTTAAAGTTTGAATTTTTTTCATTCGCAATGCAAACTTAAAATGAAAATAACTTGACTAAATGAACTTATCTAAAAAAAACGGTATACAGATCCGTAACATACTACTTAAAAATAATTTTACGTGTCTCGGCGTTTTTTGTGTAATTTTAGCGTCGTTACAGTGTTATCATCAAAATTTAGCCATATCAATGCAATTTGTTTATAAAACTCTTAGGAGGTAGGATCTCTAGTCCGACAGGTCTCGTAATTCAAGCGGACTCTATCCTCATTTGTAACGCAGGATACCAGTAAGAGTACTTCAAAGGCCCCAGAAGGCACGCCATTTTGTGTAGAATTAAGGGTACCATAATATACACAATTGAGTCAGAGCATTTTTATAGATACGCAGGGATTAGTTCAAGAGAACAGCAGTGCCCAAGGCAGCAACAGTCCGGGCGGATTACGCCTGCTTCGACAAATATGGGTCTCATCTGCCGCGAAGCGCGTTCGCGGTAGGATCTGGAAAATTTAACCGTTACCCTATAAACTGAACAGCTACAGTTTAAGTTATTCAGTTTTCTTAAAGTCCAATTAGTAATACTACTGAGGTATAACTTATTTATTCAAGGCAGTTAGCAACCAAGAAATTTAACACAGCTATTGCAATTCAACAGTAAAATTTTTTTTTATAAATTTTTCGATTACTTTTTAAATTACTTTGAGGAATGGAATTCGAAAAAATCAATTACATTTTCAATTCCTTTCAAAGGAATTGAAAAAAAAATTACATTACTAGCACGTAATTTATTTCAATTACAATATGAAATTCCTTGTAATGGAATTAAAGAAAAAAACCATTCCATTTGAAATTACTTCAAGGAATTGAAAAAGTAATCGATTCCTTTGCTGTGAACTGAAGGAATTTAATCCTAATTACAATTACTGAGGAATGTAATTGTAGTTGTAATGTAATTGCATTTACCCAGCTCTGCCAGTCAACAAAGACAATTAAAATTCACAGCATTCAAGCTTACAATATTGCTCATACGACATGGGCTACCAACAAGTATTATTCAAATTCGGTATTATGAACGATAACGTGTGATACAAAGAAACTAAAATATAAATGGAAAGATTGTAATTGTTATAGGTTTATGAATTAATATTTGCTTATTTGACATAGGAATTGCCTTAGAGGGAAAATGTTGTTGTCCTGAATATCAAGCCATTATTGCGGCGCGCCGGTCTGCAGGCAAAATGAAAACGATTGCGTCTTATAAGTATGTACTTAGTTCACTTATAAATGCTGCGTATACTGTAAAAAAGTGACACAAGTCCGAGAAAAACATAAAACACAAACCCGAACACATAAAACAGGAGGATGAAAATCTTGAAAAGCCAGACATTCATTTTATCAAAAGCAGCCAGAAAAATTTTAGTTGCTTTTTTGACATTTATAATTTTAAGCAATAAGGGCCGAAAATCGAAGGACCCTACGAAATTTCGAAAAATACAGAAAAATTTTAATAAAACTGGAAAAGTCCCGAAAAAATTCTTAACTCTCCCGAAAAAGATCCAAAAAACTTTTAAATTCTTAAAAAAGTTCCAAATAATCCCAACACATGCTCTAAAGGTCCCGAAAAAGTCTCGAAGTGTTACAAAAAATTTCCAAAAAAAATCCAGAAATTGCGGAAAATAATCCTAAAAGTTCCCGATAAATTCTTAACCGTCCGGAAGAACCCCCAAGGAACTTTTAAAATTAAAAAAAAAAAACGAAAAAGTCCCAAAATAATCACAACAAAAGCTCGGAAAGTCTCAAAAATATTGCGGAAAACTGTCGAAACTTTGTAAATCCTCCAAGGTTTGTGTTTTTTAACCATACCTCTTCTGAGATTCATTCTTAATTTTTGTATTAATTTCATAGCCCGTTTATGATGTTTAACCATACGTACTACTGTGCTAGTTTCCAAAATTCATCAACAGAGCAGGCGGAGGTAAAAACTTAGTCAAGTACGCTGAAACAAGTGGTGCTGACGTTTTTCTGGGTTCTGAATTTGGAGTTATTTGATCGATTTCATTCATTTGTTTCTTATTTTCAATCGATTCAATTTCAAAAAATTCTGTAAAGCAATGCCTTTTTGTGGTCTGATAGCCAATATACTTATTTGCATTTTAAATATCTCGAAAATCTTAGCTAACCCAGAAACATGATTTGACAGAAACAAATTTTGCTAAATCTGGAAACATGAGGGACGTGTAATTAAATGTTGCATAATGTTAGGCGCACTTGCTATTCTTTTTGAGATTTTTGGCGTTCACTCGACAGCTAATGCATGAAATAGAATGCACTTTTCACTGATGCTAGTGGTCTAACTGAACTTAAAATATAGAAAGTTAAGAAATTAGAGAGTTGCCACCTATTTGAAGATTGCAGTTTAAGTAAATTGATAAGATAAAACAAATATTGCAATAGTCAAAAAGAAAGAAGTTTAGAAAGATTTACAGCTGCAAATATTTTTGTGCAAGGTTGCCACCTGTTTGAAAATTTTAGTTTAATTTAATTGTTAAGATATATTAAATATTGCAATATGGGTAGCAAACTAAAGAGGCTAATAAATTTTACTGCCGAAAATTCTTTTGAGGGGGTTGCCATCTGTTTGAAAAATTTTATTCATTTCAATTGATAAAATACATGAGATATTACAATACGGGTATTAAAATAAAGATGTTTAGGAAAGTTTACCGTCGAAAATTGAAGACTTCAGTTATAAGATTATACGTAAATTAAATTTCCAGGAGAAAACCGACACATCACATCTTTCTAAATAACTCCGAAAATACATACATAAGCTAACACCCAAATTTATAAAAAATAAATAATGCTTTATAAATCGAAAATTTTTTGGAAAATCGCTCTTCAAAAAGGTCTTCAAAGCTACTTAGTTATATTATTTTTTATTAATGAAGCCATAAGAGTCTTGGGAGGGAGTAACAACACAACAATATTTTTAAGGCGCAGTGAAGCACGGCGGGTACTTGTTAGTTCTTAATAATATTTGAGCGGATTCGTAAAACTGTTCTCAAAATAATCTATCAAGTTGCAAAATAAATAACAGAAACTTCCATAACGCACAAACAATTGTTATTTTATTGTTAATTTTTAGATTCGAATATCCGAATATCCGAATATCTATACACAATTCGGATATCCGTAATTCCACACTCTTTTCGGATATTCGAATTATTTTACATATTCAGATATTCGAATATTCGGTTTATCCGCATAGTAAAAAAAAACTTCCAGCCCTGCTATATATATACTTTGAGTACATAATTTAAAATTAACTCGTAAGACTGCTAATCCACAAAAATTCCTAAAGTTATTTAAGCTTTAAAAAAACATGTTGATGTACATATATCCACATGCACTACTGACACATTTACGATTGCATTTTCAACGTTATATAAATTATAGCGCGTAAAATCATTAATTTTATCTTTTGGCATTTGCGAAACAATTATGAAAATTTAGCCGCAATTATAAACGCCTACCGCCAAAATTTATTTTAAATACTTAATAACAAAATTAGCCAATAAAAAGTTATTAAAATTTGCACGCTTCACAATTTTATGTCTACTAATACTAATGAAATGTTTGTTTTTGTTTTCCATTTCTAATTTCGTGTGGTGCCTCATGCGACTAACCATCAACCAACCAACCAACCAACCAACCAACAACCAAATGACCATTTAAAACCAACGCAATCAACAACACCAATATTGCCGCTAACAACAACAACATTTGCTACTACTACTACCACCACAACCAAAACCGAACCGAACCAAAACCGAACCGTAAATGTGGCAATGTGTATTTGAAAATGCTAAATGTGCTACTAAAATCCTTTTCACCGCAAAACCGCCGCATTAATTTCACGTACACCAAAACAAAACAAAAACCCCAATCAAAACCGCAAAAACACCAACAATTGGCGGCTGCACAACAAACTACCATTTATTGCTATGCTACCTGCTGGCGGTCCGTCTGGCCTGCCTGGCTATCTGCGTTGCTTGCGCGCTTTTATGCTTATCATGTTTTGCCAAAATGCTAACAACTACAATAACAACATTTATAATGAATGATACGCTCACGCACAAAACAAAAACCAACGTCATATCCTGACACCCATCTCTGCGTATATACATCGTCGGCTGTCCAACAATTTCATCCGTACTTTGAATATTTAATGTTTCCGTGAAATTTTGATTATAATGACGGCTGCTCTTCGCCCGCCTCCATTGAATACCGTTTAATTGGTTTTTTTTTCTGGCTACGCGCATGCATCTGCTTGGCTGGCGGAAATGCCTGCGCCATTTTGATGAATGCTAACAACAACAACAATGCCTATGTATCAACTGCATATTCCCTCTGACGGAAATGCATAATTTGTTTTGTGTGTGCCACCACCAAACAAACATTCATCGTGCGCATCATTATTTTACCGCAATTCTGCATATGACTCACATTGCTACATTTGTATGTATGTATGATGTTCATCAATCACAGAAACACAACTTGTTGAAATATCCAGTCGTATGCAAATTCTGGAATCTGGAGACTTATTAATGTCGAATGTACGTGAAACGGATGCTGGCCTGTATACATGCGTGCGTTCAAATGAGGCGGGCACGGTTAATGGCGAGGCATATCTAAGCGTTTTGGGTAAGTATGGTGAAAATGGCAATTCAGCGCGCTAACCGCCATGCAATTCACTTGCTTGTTGGCTTGTACATTTGTACTGTAATGGATTTTGTATTTGTATTTTGTGTTATATTAGTTTGGCGGTATAAACCAATAGCCTGCATTTATGTTCCTGTTGTCCTGTTGTTGTCTCCTGTTCCTGTTGCATGCCTAACAGTCTCCATGGCTGCTTGTTGCGCTCTCTTATGCCGTATTTCCACTAGACCTTGAAATTACAAAAAATGTGTGCCATTTAAAAATTTAAATGCATAAAAGAGCTTAATGAGCATTTTTATAATAGTAGCAACACAGGTTTTTTTATTGTCGAAGTTTGCCATACAAATTTTTGTCATTTAAGGCCGGTTGGAAACCCGGCATTAATTTTAAGTTAAAAAGTGACCCTAACAGTTATACATATGTAATTTTTGCAATGGCATTAATTACTTTCAATTTTTGTTCTTCGATCACATTTGATCGATATTTTATGGTTATGTTTACGATCAAGGATAATCGATTAAAAAATAACAATTATTCCTCAATGTTTTTATTCAGTGAAAGGGAAATGGTCCACAGCGTTTTCCTGCATTTTTTGTACAATAATTGTTTGAAAACTTCCTAAGTGCTGGTTTTCACGCAAAACTATTGAAGTACATTATCAGAGACCATGTCAAGCATGCACTCAGTGGCGGATTAGGGGGGTGGTTTTTCGGGTTCTCTTGCGTTTCTGATTGCAATTGCTTACTCAAAGGCAAAACGATGGAGTGCCCTGACAACGTAGAAATAGCAGCCAGCACTTCAAAAGTTGCGAAAATTTCTGGCTGAAGTTCAATGTACTTTGATACTGCTTCGTGGCATTGAGCTCATCTAGTTTAATTTTGCACCTAAATGGCAAGAGGAAAATCCAATTGTATGTACGGTTGGGCTCCGTAGAATTCACCAAAAATCGCTGGAGCTCCATCATATCCTTGGAGATAAAGGTACGAGAATCTATACCCACTTCCGCAAGATACTTCTTGATAGTTCTTGATAACTCTCGTGAAATCAAATAGGTGATAAAATTAAGAATCCAAAACCCCTCATAATAAAATCCTAGATCCGCCACTGGATACACTATATAATACAAGTAATTTTTAAGCAAAAAATAAAACCGACCACCTCTGCGGTATCAATCATTCGAGCTAGTTGGTTAATTAATCCAAGATATTGCTTAACAACATACACTACGACCTGCAGATTCTAATGAGAGTGCCCTACCCAATACGTCCAAGGCACCTTAATTAATCCGTAAAGAGCGTTGTTAGGCGAATTTTTTAGAAGAAAGTGTCGGACACTCACAAGACCATATTCCGAAGACTTATCGCTCACAAGGCAGGATCGGACTCCGATAACATCTATTCGGTGGATATAAACTTATAGTTTATTGTGTAATTTCTTTTTAACCGAATAATATGCTTTCTATTGAAAGGGTAGCCGATGAGCCTGGGCTGTATTTAGCTACTGATGCGATCACCAGTACTTATAACGGACGTTTTTTCCACTAACTAACTGAGTCATTAACCGCCCCGAAATATTCAACGAATATTTGAACCGCACCGAAAATCGAACCAGTTTATGTAAATGAACAATGTTCCTTTTGATGTCATTCTGTTAGAAAGAATCTGAATGTACTCTTAGCTATATAAAGAGATAACTATAAAAGTGCCCTTTAAACCCTTTTTTACGGTTTAATTTGGCTCAGGTTAAGAATGCTAATACTTTATCGTGGAACACTGCGGGCTCTCTATCCGTTTGAGTTGTAAGTTTGGAACCAGGCTCATAAGTACCTGCAACTGCTCTGCGATTTATCGGTTTGCCCAGTATTCGTGATCTTCGCGATCTAGAATTTTCACTTTCTGCCAAAGCACATCTCTTTAACTTTGTATCTTCCCAAGATTGCAAGAATGCAGAAAAACCCCCTCCTAATCCTACGCTATACAGTTGCTCGAAGAAATGCTTATCCAGAAATGCGCATTTTCTTCGCAGTGCAAACCATTCTTACTTAAGTACTTATCGGACCTACCTCTTCTTTGTCTTTAAAACGCCTGCATTAATCGTTATATGTGACTACGAATCTGACAGTCATGTGGCCAAGACGGCAGTATTGCTATTGGAAGCAATCGCTATACTTTTCATTTGTCCAGTTTAGTCCAAAGGCTAAAAGGCATACTCTGGACTTCTACACACCTTTTGAAAGCAACAAACCCTTTTCTCGCGCAATCGCCCGCTTCCTTGTTTCCTTAAATACCACTATGCTCAGGCACTCGGTAAAGGCTGACATTGTCTTAAGACATTTCAGGAATTTTCGACATTCCCAAAATCATATTGAGTTAGTTGTTGCCGACCTAAGAGCCTAAGAGCAAAAAAGTCGCGATTTAAGCGAAGGATCGAAAAATGGAGATTACACAACGCAGAAACCGTTTGGTATCCAAGCCAAACTTGACAAGGACATTCGTACGAAAACACATCATCTTCTCACCATGGCGAAAGAATCAACCACTATCAGCAAATATCCTTAGGCGTTGAAAATTTTATTTTGCCAAATCCCATAGTGTGCTTTGAAATATCTGTTTTCAAATCAATTTAAATTTGTTTACTGAACTGTTCTGTCGGTCCACATCAGACATTGATTACGAAAACTAATAACACCGAACTAATTTTAGTTTTACCCAAGGTCGATTTTTAATTTAAACGCAATCAATTTTTTATTAAAACATGTGCATATGTCTTATAATCTTGTCTTTCTGTTGCCATCAGCCAAATTCGAAATGGCATAAATCGTCTTTTAAGCCACCTGTCAGGCTGGCGGCAAATCAAATTTGCACAAACTCTATTAAACTTTCATAACTTCAAGCCAGTGGCAAATACTTTCACATGTAAACAGCTTACATTGGCATTGCAAAAGCGCAAGTAGAAACAAACATTTTACTTCCGCTCATCGCCAATGCAATCTGCTCGCATCTGCAGAGAAGTCAGAGGGCTTGCCTTCGGCTAAGCTACACAAGCGCCCACACTAAAGTGGAGCTACTTGCAACGACAGTACGTAAATACTGCATACATGGAAGCATACATATATATATGTATGGATGTATGTTAGCTGCATGCCGGAATGAACACAGCCTACTATTTACACTACTGTGCATTTTACTTATACGCAGCTACGACCAAACGACACAAACAGAAAACAAACCTAGCTGCATCGGCATAAAAACTTAGATAGCAAAAAGAGTGTAAAAATCTGGCAAAACAAAAAAGCATCGCAAAGCCGTTTATGCATAGTAGCGTGTATGCGAATGTGTAGTTGGACGCACAGGAAACAGGAAAATGCCAAGGCTTGCAATTCAATTTCCTCCCATCAGCAACGCATTTCGCATTTCCATTTAAATTCGAAAGAGTCCAAACCGTTGCAAAAACTTTTCTAATACTTTTTACCATTCTAGTTACATACACACATACATTCGTACACATAAATATCTTTCTGTTTTTCTTGTTTTTCTCATTTGCTCTTTTTCTTATTTGAACTTCCACAACGGTTGTTTGTTGCCAACCGCAATTTTATTTACTCTCTCACAGTTCGCACACAAATCATCCAGCCACCGGTTGACACCACCGTCCTATTGGGCCTCAATGCGACGCTGCAATGCAAAGTTTCCAGTGATCCAACCGTGCCGTACAATGTCGACTGGTATCGCGAAGGTCATCCGACAGCAATCAGTAACTCGCAACGTATCGGCGTACAATCGGATGGCACACTCGAGATTCAGGCGGTGCGCGCCTCTGATGTGGGCACCTACCAGTGTGTGGTGACATCGCCAGGCGGCAATGAGACGCGTTCGGCGCGTTTAAGTGTCATCGAGCTGCCATTCCCGCCGAGCAATGTGAAAGTTGTGCGCTTAGATGCACCCAACCAAAGAACCATCAACGCTTCATGGACGCCCGGCTTCGATGGCAATAGTCCAATACTTAAGTTTATTGTGCAGCGGCGTGAAGTCTCCGAACTAGGTAAGTGCATGAACATACTGCATACCAGACAGTGGGTGTATGTACATTAGGGTGGTGCAAAAAAAATAAGGTCAGAATTTTAAGCTCCCATCCCCTGGGATTGTTCTGTACCGAAAAAAGTATACCCTTATTTTTTATTTTGAAATCAAAAAATATTTAGAGGTCGCTCAAAGCGCTCAAAGTTTTCCATGGGCATATTTTATATGGGAGAAACCCCATTTTTTGTGCAAATGGTATAGATTCTTGAAAATCAATATTTTTCGATCAGAAAACTCTGTTTCTCTTTAGGAGACTTCCAATAAGAATACTAAATTGTTTATTTAACCATATTTTAATAATAACAATTTTTTTTTATAAGTCTCCCAAAAACTCCAAAACTTGCGATGGACTCATAAAAAAATCGTTATTATTAAAAGATGGTAAAATAAACAATTGGGTTTTATTATTGGACGTCTCGTGAAGAGAAATAGAGCTTTCTTATTGAAAAATATTGATTTTACAGAATTATATACCATTTCTTCAAAAAAGTGTTTTCTCCCACACAAAATACATGGCAAATTCAATGGGCTTTGAGGAAGTTCTAAATATATTTTTTTACACAAAAAAATATGGTTATGTTTTCCATTTAGAAAAATCCTCTCTTTTTGACCACCCTAATGTACATACATA